TTAACGCATCGAAACAGTCTAGCTTTGTTAGCATTAAGCTAACGACCCGCATCAGCATTAAACGGGATTTGTTGTCCAGTTCACATTAGCCTCGAAGCAGCTAACGGGGCAAGCTAACGGGGCCTCCGGGCTCCAGCGCGACACCTGCTCGAAGTTCGTCCGTGTTTCCTTCACACTTCACGGACAAGTGTTCTCCTGTGGTCCGCTCAGCTGGTTCTCTTCTCGGCCTCATTCAAACCAAGAGTCCGCAACAAGAACGATTCGTTAGAGAATCATTGATAAATATTAATGATGATATCATCACTGATAAATATTATTGATGATATCATCACTGATAAATATTAATGATGATATCATCGTTCAATTATAAGAATCAGCTGTGGGCCATGACGTCATGTCTTTATATCATCAAGTAAGTGATTAAACCAAATGAGAATCACTTGAACATGAGAACGAGAGGACACAGATTGAACGTCTACTCTGATTCTGTAGTTTGGTTCATGTCCCATCTGCTAACATGGAGGAGGTTTATGATCTGTACTGCAGCCAGACACCAGGGGGCGATCCAGATATGTCAGCTTCTTTATCTACAGCTTGATGTCCCTTGTTGAACGTTGTGTGTCTCACAGTGACTCTGAGCTGGTTGTTGTGTCAGAGGTCAGGGACAGATAAGATGAACTAACGTGTCTCGTCTCGAACAGTGACGGGTTAAAGTCCAGATCTGTGGACTCTGGATCCTCAGAGCTGCCGAGCATCTGATGGAGGAAGCTTCACTCTGTCCACCTGGTGAGTCTCTGTGTCTCTGAGTCTCTGTGTCTCTGAGTGAGTCTCTGTGTCTCCGAGTGAGTCTCTGTGTCTCCGAGTGAGTCTCTGTGTCTCTGAGTCTTTGTGTTTCTGTGTCTCTGTGTCTCCGAGTGAGTCTCTGTGTCTCTGAGTGAGTCTCTGTGTCTCTGAGTCTCTGTGTCTCCGAGTGAGTCTCTGTGTCTCCGAGTCTTTGTGTTTCTGTGTCTCTATGTCTCTGATCTCAGACTTTTAGTTTTATTTTGAAAACCTGAGTTAAAACTCCAGACTTCAGCCCTGGTTTTAGAGATTATTTCACTTCCTGCTGAAAAGTTTTTAAGAAGAGATAAACTTGTTCAGATCACGACCGACCTCGTCGCCTTCAGAAGAATCTAAAAAAAGAAGCAGTTCCTTCAGGAGTCGTCTTTATTTTTGGATTTCTATTTTCACCCTCGGACTGTTTCTATTTCTGTCCCGTCTGTTCTATTGTCGTCGTCTTCAGATCTGAGACGCAGAGAAAACATCTGTAGTGACGAGTGGAGGGTTTCAAGTCCAATCCTCAGGTTTCATGTGGAAACACTTTGAAAAGACAAACAGCTCCAGTTTGAAACTTTATTTAACTTCAAACTAAACAAATGTAGTTTCTGACGTTCAACAAAGTGTTTTTACCTTTAGAGAAATAACGAGCCTCTCATTAACTCAGCTTTTATTCTGACGTGCACCAGATCATCCTGGTTCGTTTTTCCCAATATATTTTCACAGAAAATTAAATTTTCAATTGATTTGTATGAAACTCGTGTTCAGATGTTTGAATTTTGTAAGAAAATCTTAAATGTTATGTCAAAGTCAGTGAGTCTTATTCTTCCTCCATCAAACTGTTGGTACTTTGTTCCACAAGTTTTTAATACACGTTAGTTTCTACAAACTTTTCTCGACTGTCGTGACATCATGGTGAACGTCCCCTGTCCACGAGGACGCTGTCTTTTAATCAACGCCTCCTTAAAGCTGCTTAAATCTTTGTGTCCTGAAATGAAATGAAATCATATTTGTCGCTCAAACAAAGACGTGACAGTGACGTCAAAGAATTTTCCAAAACACAATGTCGGAGTTTGTTTTTATAGAATTGAAAATCACCTACAAATGAAAACCTCTGAATTATTTTAGTCCAATTTAAGTAAAGGAAATTCTTCAAGTCAAGTTCATGAATTCAACATTAAGTGATTTAATGGAATTATCATTCTTATCTTTTTCAATTCATCCTGTTTCCTGCTGCAGAACGTTTGTGTGGATCTCTGAGCTCCTGTCGACGCTGAGTCGTTTCTGAACCGAGAGTCGACCCGCAGCAGCCATGTTTCTTCCAGACGCCAGTTCTGCCTCTCAGACGAGCCGGCGGCTCGCCGCCGCCGCCGTCATGATGATGTTGGCATCACTTCCTGTGTCAGCTGTGGAACCAGAGACGTGTTTCTCCAGACAACACCAGAGCGCCAGAGTCAACGTCCGAGTGGCCGTAAACAGAGCAGGGACGGTGATGGACACTCGCATGTTTCGCTCTGAGAGGGACTGCATCCTCGCCTGCTGCTCCGAGGACGTCAAACCAGGTGAGACACAACGTCAGGTTCTCTGAAGGTTACGAAGACATCTAAGAAGACAAAACGTCTTGTGATGTGTGAAGTTCACATCATATTTAAAGTCTGGTTCTCAAAGTGTTTCCTGTCGTCACATTGTCCCCAGTGATGATCATGATTCTGATTATCAAACTAGTTATTCACTACACAACTACACAACTAATGAACTACACGACTACACAACTAATGAACTACGTAACTACACAACTAATGAACTACGTAACTACACAACTAATGAACTAC